GCTTCCTGTGAATGCTGTGCCCTCTGAGCAGCTGCTGTGTGTGTTCAGTGGGGCTGTTGGTGTAACCAGGCTCACTTGGCTTGCAGCCTTCTCCCACAGAGAAGTAGGACTTGCTGATCACTCCTGTCTTGAGTGATACTAATTTTTGGGTGGAGGGGACACTTGAGGAAGGAGCACAAGATGCAGGTGGAGGGCTTAGTCTCCAGGATGATATAAGGATAAATTCCCAAACTGTGATCTTCCCCCTTGATGAGACAAACACACTCCAGTAAAACCTACACCGCTTTCTAGCCTGCTGATGTGAGGAACAAATAAAAGCTGCTGGAAGCAGTTGCTTCAACAGCCTAAGAACTGTTTAGTTTTGCTTATCCTTGTTCTACACCTTTCTCTTCCACTCCAGCATCTAAAATATGTATGAGGCCAAGGGGCTGGCAGTGACTGAGCAGGACAAGCTTTGAACACCAGGCAGACAAAGGTACCTCAGCATGGAGTGGTTGGATCAGCGTGGATTAAACCTCCAAGCCACATCCCACGAGGGGTATGCAGGGCTGGATGAGGTCTCAAAGCTGTTGATGGGTTTCCTGCATTTTCAGAGTACCACAAACAAATCCCAGCTGTACTCTGTGGCCACAGTGTGGCTCCTCAGCCTGGTGGGGTAACACTGCTGTGCTGCAAGTATTGAAAGGATTAACTGAAGCATGTGAAGTCCTTGTAGATGTTTGTGTGCCCCCTTGTTCCAAACCAGTACCAGACCATGATCTCCATCCTGAAAGCCAGTGTTAAAAATGTGAGAGGTATTGCTCTTCTCTCCCCTGCTTGTCAGACCTGCCAGGAGCAAGGCCAGGGCTCATTGAGGGCTGTTGGCCCATTCAGGCCTGTTTTAACTGGGCTGTATTTGGGAAGAAACCATGGAACCACAGCACCAGTGAGCAGAGGGTTGTGCTGCTGTCCCTGGGGTCACTGTGGTGAATGGATGTTTTAAGGTCACTTACAGAATCACTGGTAAAAGCAGGTTTAATACAGAAGTGAAAGCTCAACAAAGTTGTTGGCAGCCCCCAGCACCTCCAGCCACTGCACACCCCAGGGCCTCTGCCAAGGTTGCTCAGTTCTCCTCTTCCCTGCACGTCCCACAGGGAGGCAGGACCTGGCATAGGCAGAGCCAGGGCAGCTCCTTGGCTGGTCCAGTGTGTGCCCTCTGCTCAGAAAAGGGCCTTGTTCAGGGTGGTGGGAAAAACAGCAGGAGCTGAGAGCCCCCTGAGGGCCAGCCTGGATTGACATCCCACCACAGCCCCTCCGTGGGATGCGTGGCACCCGAAACCCTTGGGGCTGGGGAGGAACCTTTTGAAATCCAACAAAGGCAAGTGCCAGGTCCTTCATCCAGGATTCCCCAGCACCCACACCTCTGTCCCGAGGGTGCAGCCAGCACGAGGCCACGCAGCAGCACGGACCCTCTGGGCAACAGCGTGGGACTGACAGGTGAGTGCCATGGGGACAGCACTGGAGCCATTCCCTCTGGCTGTCCTAGCCAGGGTCAGTGTGGTGCCCTGGCACCAGACCCATTTAGCCAGCAAACAATCCCTGGGAATGCTCATGTAGCTGTCCTGTCTCCTCCCACTGGTAGCAGGTTCCTGACACTCAAGGAGGCAGCTTCAGGATGGAGCCCCTCTGAAACGCAGTGGCTGCCCAGGGCAGGGAGGGATGTGAGGTAAAGGACACAGACACCCACACCCGCCATCCCAACCTGCCCTCACACCTGTGTCCTCGCTTGGTCAGCACCAAGGGCAGACCCAGGCCCCCTCAGCCTGTCCCCAGTCCCTGAGCTCATGGAGCCAAACTCGAGTACCCCCTGAGAGCCCAAAGGCAAAGGCTGCCCACCCCACAGAGACCCTCCAGCTCCTGCAACCACAGCACCCAGCCCCATGTTGGCCTTGCCACCTGTCCCAGTTCCCATGGGACTGGGCTGCTGTGGGTGCCTCTGGGAGGAATTCCCACAGTGGTGAGTTTTGGGCACTTCCCTCTATGGATTCACTGTTGCCTGATATGAGCTGGCGCTTTTTCCCAGGTGGGAACCCACAAGTAACCCATTTCCCCCATTATTTTGTAACCAGCCAGGGAGTTGGACTGTGCTGGGGTGGGATGGGATGGGGGAGAAACCAGGCTCAGCACCCTGTGATTCCCCCTGCAAACACTGTAATTCCCTGTAGGACATCCCTGGCCCAGGAGCCAGGATCCCCCAGGAGCTCACCCAGCCCTCCTGTGCTCAAGGCTCCAAAGCCTTGCTGGAACAGGGAGATGTCAGCACTCTGACTGCCTGATGGTTGAATCTGCAAGTTCATAAGAGAGTTTCTTGCTGATGGTTTTTGTAAGGACTTGTCTGATGGGTCACTCTGGTTCAAAAGATTTTTCCCAGCATTCAAGTGCTTTACTTCCTAGGCTTGTCTGGAAGCACGTGTTTATCTGCTTTTCCCTGCTTGTATGGCTCTCTGCTTTGGAGCGAGGTGCTGGAAATCCCTGTGTCTATGCCATCAGCAGCAGCCTTCCACCATTCCCACATTTAAAGGAGAAGGGAAACTCTGTCATGCTTCTGAGATCTCAAAAAAGTGAACAGCTGGCAGTGCAACCTCTCTGGGCCTGATCTCCCAGAGTGTTCCAGAACGGCCCAGCGTGTGAGGACATGGATCACCTCTCCACAGGGCACAGCTCTCCTGGGGGGGCACAGCTCACCCTGCAAGGGGCACCTGGGGCATGGGCTGCCCAATGTGAGCTGTCCCCGGGGTCATTTTGGGGCTGAAAATGGTAAAGCTGAAGGTGCCTCAGCACATGGATTCCACTGGCTGCCAGGACCTGGGCATGCCAGCAGTGAGGGACAATGGGGATGTTCCACAGAGGGCTGGGCTGCTGCTGTGTAACAATGGGTGACCTGTGCCAGGGTGGGCCATCACCTTGAAACAGGGGACACCATAAACAGAGCCACATGTAGAAAGGAACGAGGGGGAGACCGCAGGGGAAGGAGCCTGTCAGCTGCGTACCTTTGCTCTACCTCCTGCCACACCTCCTATCACCTGCCATCCCACTGCTCCTGTCTGGAGCAGTAGCACAAAAGGCCGTTGCCCACAGCAGGTCTGTGTTTTTGGACAGGTCAGCAGCCATGGCAGAGCTCACCCTGGGCCAGCTGCTGGATTCGGCCATCGGGATGCCCAAGACTGAGCCCATCAACTTCGAGCAACTGCGCAACCTGCTGAACGGGGTGCTTGTGAACCTGGGCCTGCGGGATCTGGTCATCCAGGAGAGTGGGGAACCCCCAGAGGGGGCCCCGACAATCCCCCCAGCTGCCTCTATGGCTGCTGACCTTGAGGAGTTAAAGCAGAGAACGGAAGCCAATGAAAGAGAAATCGCTGAGGTAGAGGCTCTTCCCAGCCCCCTCCTCTGGGGTCTGCACCACTGGGCAGCTGCTGCCCCTTCTTGGTAGCTGAAGATGTGATGGAGGCCCAGCAGTGTCCTGTGCCAGCCTGTCCTGTGTCCTGCGCTGCCCCTGGCTCTGTGCAGATCATAGTGGGGGGAAGGACCTGCTCCCCAGCAACCCTGCCCTGGGGCTCACCCTGCCATCCCCCTCTCCTAGGTCAGGGCTCTTTGCGAGCAGCTCCGTGTGGAGATCAACGAGGTGAAGGAGCAGCAGTCCCATATGGAGGAGAACATGCAGAAGATGCAGGAGACTCTGGACATGGTGAACTGCCAGTGGTGCCCCTGGGAGCTGCCCCTTACCGTGTTGCCCTGCTACCCTGCTCTACAGCCCTTGGTGGCTCCCAGCGTGAAGGGCACCAGGAGGGAAGAGTGGGAAGAGTGTCCCCAGAGTGGAATGTGCCAACCCACCCAGAGCTCCCCCTCCCCAGAGCACTGCCCCAGGGAGGGCAGAAGGGCACCTCTGCCTGCAGGTCAGACCAGTGGTAGAGGTCACTGCCTGCCTCAGTCAGGGATGCTGAAGCACTCGTGAACTAAACAGCCACCAGAAAAGTAAAGTGGGTGCTGGGAAGGAGGGGAGATAAAGATCCACCTGTGCAATACAGCCACAGCCCCTGGGCACAGCCCTGCCCAGAGTCCCTCTGCCCTGTGCCTGAGCTAATGTGTAGATGTTCCTTTTAAATCCTGCTCCCGTGTTCTGACTCCTGTCCCTCTCCTCGCCCCACTCCAGGCAAACTTGGAGGATATGGCAGAGAACCTCCACAATGAGCTGACAGACCCTGTCATGGACACTGTCACGGTACATCCCTGAGCACACCCGGGCCCTGCTCCAGGATGTGGCTGCACCCCCAGTGCACCCTGTCCCCCCACATCAGGGGATGGGCAGCAATGCTGGGGGGGTCCATGCTCCTCTGGATCCCGTGGAGGGTGACAAAGATGATTTGGGACCTGGAACATCTGTCTCCTGAGGAAAGGCTGAGGGAGCTGGGCCTCTTCAGCCTTGAGAAGGCTGAGAGGGAGCCAAGGCTGGGAGGGTGGTGCTGAGCATCTAGGGGGATCTGTACCTCAGTTTCCCCAGGAAAAGCTGGGTGGGGAGGCTGGCTTGGGGATGCTGAATGTAGCCCCATGTTGTAGCCATCCCACTGTCTCCTTCCCAGTCTTCCATGAAGGACATTATGGGGGAGGATGGAGAGGTCCCCCCAGACTGGCAGCAGGTCCCCCCGGACTGGCAGCAGGTCCCCCCAGACTGGCAGCAGGGGCCTGGCATGCGCTCACACCCCTGGGAGAACCAGGGGCTGATTGTCATCGGCAATGAAAGTACGTCTGGGCAGGCCTGGGGAGGGGATCCAGTGGGTGGGAGGGGCACAGCGGGGCAGGCAGGGGGCCTGTGGACTGCTGGGTTTTCCCCCAGCTGTGTTCCCCAGGGCTCCCCCAACCCCAGAGAGTTCCCCCTGTTCTCTTCTTCCAGTTGTCCTCGCAGAGAGGTTCAGGGCATCCTCACCAAGGCAGCGGGATACCCGGGCCCCCAGCCCTATGCCCTCAAAAGCCACAGACGGGGCACAGAGCAGAGGGAAGGATTTGCCACCTGGGGTCACGAGCAGCCCTCGAGTCTCCTTCATGGCAAGTGACATGGGATGGAACGACATGGGACGGAACAGCATGGGACCGATCAAGGACGAAGAGATTCAGATGGGCATCTCCAAGGGAGCGGCTCTTCCCAGCCCCAAGGCATGGAGCAAAGGGAAGAACTTGCCCCATGGGGCTGTGAGCAGCCCCCGAGTGTCCTTCATGGAAAGCGATATGGGATGGAATGACACGGGACAGGTCCAGGATGAAGAGATCAAGATGGGCATCTCCAAGGGAGCGGCTGTTCGAAGCTCAAGGGCATGGAGCAGAGAGAAGAACTTGCTGCACGGGGTCACGAGCAGCCCCCGAGTGTCCTTCGTGGAAAGTGACGTGGGATGGGATCAGAGCGGGGATGATGAGGAGATCAAGACAAGCATCTCAAAGGCAGAGGCTCTTCCCAGCCTCCTGGATGTTCCCCCTGAGATGAAGGACGTGAAACATATCAAGGACGAAGAGATCAAGATGAGAATCTCCAAGGCAGAGTCTCTTCCCAGGCCCCTGGGTTCTCCCCCTGAGATGAGCGACATGGAGCGGATCAAGGATGAAGAAATTGAGATGAGCTTCTCTAAGGTAGACTCTTCCCAGCCCCCTGGGTGCTCCCTCTTGGATGCCCCCTCCCCTGGGGTCTGCACCACCGTTGTGCTGCCCTTAGACCAAGGCCTGGTTTAAACCCAAGCTCACAGCAGCACAGGGAGCTTCACTGAGAGAAGGGGGTGGAGTTTTGGGGGCAAGAGCTGGGGCTGAAACACTGCTCTGCATGCTCAGACAAAGAGTTTGGATGGCAGTGTCACTGCCCTGAGAGTGCATCCAGGATCCCCTGGCATCCACGCCCCCATCCCAACGAAGGCAGCACGAGGCCACCCAGCATCACAGAGCCACTGGATCCCAGCTGAGAGTGTGGCTGGGACTGACAGGTGAGTGCCACGGGAACAGCGATGGCTTCGGGGACAGCACTGGCCCCACTTCCTCCACAGGGCCCATGTGGGGCCCTAGCATCAGACCCATTTATCTGCTGATTGAACCGTGGGGATGCTGGTGATGGAGCTGTGCTGTCTCCTCCCAGTGGCAGCAGGTCCCGGACAGCAAAGGAGGCACAAGGAAGGGGCAGCTTCAGGACGGAGCCCTCTGGGATGTGAGTACAAAGCTTTCCTGATGAGTGTAGGGGACAGGGGATGAGTGTAGGGGACAGGGGATGGCAGGTCATCCCCCCAGGCAGGGCTGTGACAGTGCCAGAGCCGGGCATGACCTGCTCTCCTGGCACGGCTCAGGGGGGTCCTGAGCACTGACCAAGCGAGGACACGGGTGTGAGGGCTGGTTGGGATGGCAGGTGTGGTGCCACCTCACCTCCCTGCCTGGCCTGGGCAGCCACGAGCAGCCCAAGCATTTTGGAGACACCAGCAGGACCCGAGGCTTTTGGGCACTTCCCTGCAGATTCACTGTTGCCTGGTATGAGCTGGAGCTTCTCCCCCGGAAAATAACTCACCTCCCCTATCGCCCCCCTTTATTTTGTAACCAGCCAGTGGGTTGGGCTGTGCTGGGGTGGGGTAGAAACCATGCTCAGCACCCCGCGATTCCCCCTACGAACACTGTAACTCCCTGCAGCGATGTGCCTGGCACTGGCTGCTGCCTGCACAGGCGGGGCTGCATCACCCCCGGAGCTCACCCAGCCCTTTTCTTCGCATTTTAGGAAGCTCCTCAAGGTGTCCTCTCCCGACTTCTTGCCCAGAGACCAGCCCTTCACCATGCAGCTTCCTGGCCCGTGAGTATCAGCGGCACCGGTGCCTCTTGGGGTGTGTGGGTGGGACAGGGGCAGGGGGATGTTGGCAGTGCCCTGCTGTGGCAGGGATGGCTCGTTTGGCCCCTGTCACCCACCCGTGTCTCCTGCCCTCTCCAGGCCCTCTCCACCCGGGTCTCCTGCCCTCCCTGGGCTCTCTCCACCCGGATCTCCTGCCCGCTCCAGGCGCTCCGATATCATCCCCTACACGCCGCCGCCGTCCCCCGGCCTCACGGGCCGCCTGCCCCCCATCGTCAAACAGTACCAGGAGCACGGACAAAGGTCGGGACGTGGGCCCTGGGGGTGTGGGGGAGCCCTGCCCAGCAAGGAGAGCTCTTCTCTGGGTGGAGGCGGAGGGGCCCGGGGGCGCCGGCAGGAGAGAGGGGCTGCGGAGGGTCAGAAGGTTTTACAGCCCCACCCTGTCTAGCCCGGGTCTGTCTCGATGGCACTGAAGCCACATGTGGCGAGTTGCGTCTGGTCTCTGCCTGAGCTCAGGCTTGGTGGGGGCTCGGGTGCCTCCTGTGAATGAGTTCCCAAAACCAAGCCCTGCGGCTGGGACAGCCCAGCTCCTGCCTCCTGGCGTCCCCTGCGGAGGGCACAGGTCCTGCCGTGGCCGCGGGTCCGTCCGGGGCTGTGGGGAGAGGGCAGATCCCTGCAGGGCTGGACGGGCACGGGTCTCCTGCAGCAGCTGGAAGGGAGCCGGGAGCCCCCCAGGGAGCCCCCGCTGTCCCCCTCCCTGGCATAGCAGGGTGAAACACGGGGTGCCACGGTGCTGAGCACTGAGCATCCCTGTGCCCCACCCCACAGGGAGCAGGCAGAGGGGTATTCCCGCAGATCCCCCATGTACTGTGGGGGCCGGCACACCAGCATCTGCCCAGTGCAGCCGATGGAGCCCCTCCTCCCAGACCCCAGCAAGGTAGGGATGATGAAGATGGGATTATAGGCTGGGGCAGCCGAGGCGGGGAGGGTGATGCTGAGCGTCCTGGGGGGATCCGTGCCTCAGTTCCCCCCGGAAGAGCTGAGCAGGGAGGCTGGCTTAGGGATGCTGAATGCAGCCCAGAGTTCCAGCCATCCCCCTCTCTCTTTCCCAGCCCGGCGTGTTTGACCTGGTGGGCAGGGATGGAATCGTCTACCGGGGCCGGCAGTGCAGGAGGACTCCTATGGGGTCCTGGATGGAAGGAGCAACCTATTCCAATCTGCAGTAAAGAGCTACAAGCAGCCAAGCACCTGTGCTTCCTGAGTGGAGTGGCCTTGGATCAGGATCTTTCCTTCTTGAACAAGGAGGGGCTGCTGGAGGAGCTGAAAACAGCACCTCCCAGGGTCTGTGTCAGCCCCAGGCTCCCCCTGGCACCCCCTGGCCCCTGCCAGGGGACCCTTTGGCCCCAAAGGAGGTCTGGGGGGGGCCGAGTGGTGCCGCAGAAGGAGGATGTTCCTTTGACTCCGGGGAGGCAGTGGGAAAGGGGGGGGTCTCAGTGGGAAGAGCAGCAGCAGGACATGGTTTAATGTCAGAAGCTAATCCCACCCCAAGCCCGCTGGTTTGCTATCGATTATCCCATGGGATGAGCATCACCGGGCTGCTTTCTTTATCTCCAAGCGAAGGAAGCCCCTTGTCCCTCTCCCCTTTGTCACCCCCTCCGTCCCTCTCCATCAACGGAAAGAGGAAGGCACGAACCCCGCTGCTTCCCACCTCCAGACGCGAGCACGTAACCTGTCCCTGCCCCCCTGGGGGGAACACGCCCCCTCCTTTCCCTTATGCCACCCCCAGAGATCAGCGCGCTGCTTTCCCCAGCCAGCTGCTTTCCCCCCTCCGTGCCAGCGCGGGGGAGCCGGGGGGTGTCACGGCTGGACACACGTGGCCGGGGTTGTCCCCACAGCACACCGGCAACGACACGCGGCGGAGGGGGGGACACAAAGCCGGTGGCACCTCTCGGATGAGTGGGAGGGTGAGAAACACCGAGGGGAACCCCAGAGGCAGCCAGGGGGGACCCAGAGCTTACGGGGAACATCCCCTCAACCCCTGTGGTGTGTCCCCGGGGGCTGCCCCATGGAAACCTTGCTCTCCTGGTGAATATTCTCCTCAAACTGCAGGGGGAAGCCCAAAAACCTTCTGCCACACAGACTCCATCCCTTCCACCCTACTGTGCTCCAGAGGCACCTTAGTCTGTAGGGAGCCCCCCCCCCCCCGAATGTTTTCCTTGGTGGGTTTGCTTTTTCAGGGGGGAAAAATTGGATGCTCAAAACGTGCTTTGGGGGTGCTGAGGTGGATACAGCAGGATCTGGGGTCCCCCCAGTGCCACCTCCAGTAGGATAACTGGGAGCACTCTGAGCAAACCACCAGGCACCAGAGCAGAGCCATCAAAGAACCATCCTGCACCCCTGGGTGGGGCTGAGGGGCTGAGAAACACGCTGGGGACTAATTGCATTTTCAGGATATGGCCCAGCTGGGGGGATCCCTTTGGCACTCATCATCCCTCCCGCTCAGCACCTCCCACCCCCTGCCCCATCTGCAGCCCCTGGCACCCAGCTGCACCCTGTTAACACCCCCACCCTCCTGTACCCCCCTAAACACACACCAGCCTCACATCCCTCCTTGGGTGCTCTCTGTGCTGCTGGAGCAGGTGAGTAGCCCCAGATGGGGGATTTTTTTAGCCTTTTCTCCTTGGAGGTTGTGCCATCCTGGGGGTGTCTCCATCCCTGGGGGGGTGCTTTGCTACTGTGCTTTGAGCCCCCCAGCCCTTCCTGGCATCTCCAGATCTGCTGTGTTCCCATTTTGGGGGTTGTTACCCTAGTTGCTTGTTGTGTGGCCTTGGGCTGGTGGCCCTTCTGCAGTGGGGGACAGTCAGAGGGCATCACCCCCAGCACAGGGTTTCCCCAAAAGCCTGGCAGCCCCTGAGTGTCCCAACAGTGCTGAGGCCTGGGGGGCTCATCACATGGGTGGGGATGGGGCAGTTTGCAGGCTGTGAGATTTTGTGAGGGGACAAGGTGGGGTTTGGGCTGTACCCCCTGGCACAGGGGGGTCCTCACTGTGCTGGCACAGCACCTCCATGGCTTTGAGGGTGCTGGGGGTCTCCCCTTCCCTCTGCCCCCCTCTTTGGGGATGGCTGCAGTGGTTTGGGGAGGCAGAGCGTGGGACTTGGGGCAGCTCCGGAGGGGGGGGGCAGTCCCCACTGGTGACACTGTAGCACGGGGGGGTTGTCTCCCCCATTCTCAGTGCCCAGCCAGGGACATCCTTCCCAGGAGAGAGAAAAGGCAGGGACAGCTGGTGTTGAAAAAGTGATTTTGTTTTTGTTTTGGTATTTTTTTTTTTATTATTTTTAAATTAATAAAAAACCTTCAACCTGTTTTTTTGCTGGTTTTTTCCTTCTTTTTTTTTTTTTTTTTTTTTTTTTTTTTTTTTTTTTTAAGCAAGATTGATTTGAAAACTAAAAAAAACCCCCAACCCCCCAACTCTCCCTGGGGAAGCGCCATGTATGGCAGTTGCAGGGATGGAGGGGGCATCACCTTGATAATTCCCCAGGCCCTGGGGGTGCTGAGGGAGGGAGGGAGGAAGGATAGGGTTGGGGAGAAGTCCAGGGGGGGTCTGTGCAAGAAGCTGGGCTGAATTTCAGAAGCCAGAGGAGAGGCTGGTTTGCTCTGGGCACTGTGACAAGTGTCCAGGAAATCCAGAGCTGGGGGGAGAGGGGTGTTCAGTGGCTCTGTGTCCCCATGGCTGTGATGTGGGGTGCTGACAGCCACCTCCATCCATTCATTTTTGTTATTCCTGTCCCCCCCCCTTCCCTCTCCTGCCCTGATGTAGGGATGCCGGGTGGGGGTAGAGCCATAGGGAAACGTCCCCCCAGACACCCAGCAGCTGCCTCCACACTGCTACTCCTTCTCTCTGGATTTATATACATTAGATATATTTATATATTATAGTTATATATTTAAAAAAAAACAGGGGGGGAGGGGAGGAGAAAAGACCAGCCAGCGACTCTTGCAGAGGCACTCAGAGGCTGGTGCCCTCCCCAGCAGCACGTGCTCCAAACCCCCCCCCCCTTAAAAATAATAATAAAACCTAGAAAATTATTCCAGTGCGTTTCTTGGCGAGCCCCTGCTCCCAACGCCCCGGCCCAGACCCCCCTCCCCCTTCCCTCAAACCCTCCCCCCAACCCTCCTCCAACCCCAGTCTTATCTCTGGCCGTCCATGGTGGCCACGGCTTTCTGTGGGGGGGCTGCAGGCGGGGGGGCAGGGGGCCAGGAGGGCTGCGGGTGGTGCAGGTGGTGGGCGAGGCCGTGGGTGGTGGGCGAGGACGGGGGCAGCCAGGTGGGCTGGTGGCTGGGGGGCGAGGAGGCCCAGAAGGGGCTGAAGCTGCCCGGGGGGGAGCAGGCCATGGAGGTGATGGGGCTGTTGCTGCTCTGGAGGCTCTCCGAGGTCCGCAGCTTGGAGAACATGGCCAGCGCGTCCGGGAAGTTGGGCGGCGTGGCCGGCGTGTTGCTGGGGGTGCACATCTGCGGGGCACGGGAGAAAGGGGGGTGTCAGGTCAGTCAGAGAGGCTTTTGGGGGGTGTCCCAGCCCACCCACAGTAGCCAGAGCCATCGCCTTTCACCCATCGTGTTTCACCACCACTAGGGATCCTGCCTGTATCCCATGCCTGGCACCCCCCCAGATCCCAGGGATGCTCAGAGCCCAGGACTGGGGTTTCTGGCCCTTGAGGGTCTGCGTGGCTCCCACAAAGCTCCCTGGGGAGTGTCTCCAGTCAATCTGGGAAGGACATTCTGGACCATCCAGGATGCTCAAAGCCCAGGGATGAGGCAGGTTTGGGGAGCAGCAGGGACAGGGCTGATGCAAAAGGATGCAGTGTGATGGGTGGGGAGGGTGTTGGGGTCCCCCCCGGCCCTGCAAGACCCTCTTTCACCCAGTTCCTTGACCCTTCTTCCCCTTTGCACCCTGCTTTGGCAGGGAGAGCAAAAGGCAGGCAGTGCCCCTCAAGGCCCCCCCAGTTCCTGGTACAGCCCCTGCCTTCTGCGTATCCAGCTAAATTTAGCACCTGGACAGTGATGGATTTGGGCCTTTTTCCAGCCAATCTCCCGAGCTGAGGAAAATCCATCAGGTGGGACCCAGCCTAGCACTGGGGCTCAGGGGCTGGCACAGGGAACCCCCAGTTCAGCAAAGCACTTGTTAAATTGAGTACTGAGGGTGATAAAAGGGGGATGTGGGTGTGTGTGCAAACTCCCATGAGGCTGCACACATAGGGAAGGGGTATGGGCAGGGAGGGCACATGTGGGCAGGGGGATGCACTGCCAGAGGATGCTTGGACATGGGGGTGGTGCATGCATAGTGGGGGCTTCACCCCTCTGGGTTAAACCCATTCCAAATCCCTGTGGCCCTCAGGGAGCCACAGCTCCTGTCAGATGCTTGTGGGGACTTTGAGCAGAGTTAAGGGGCTTGGGCAGCATCTGCTGCCTTTAGCAATGGGGGATCGAGGGGAGTTTCTGATGGTGAATAGCTCCTGCATTTCCCCTTTCCTGGGATTTGTCCCTGGCTGGTGCTCAGCAGCCCCCTGATGCTCCCCAGCACAGGCCAACATCTAAATCCCTGTTATAGGTTCGCCCTCATCCCCGTCCCAGCCACCCTTAGGGATGCAGGGATCAGAGGAGCAATGGCCAAACCTGGTTGCCAGTCTATTTGAAGTTGGGGTGCTCTGTGCTGGCTGTGGGATGGATGAGCTCCCATCAACCTGCAGAGCTGGGACACCCCAAAAATGCAATCACGGCCAGGCTGGCACTGAATGGGTTTGTGGTGAACCAGGGATGTTCCTCCACAGAACTCATTTCGGAGCTCAGCTTGAAGTGGTGCTGATCCAGCTTTTTTTTTTTTTTAAATAACCTATACATTTGGCAGCATCTGAAAAGATACTTGTTGCAAAAAAAAAAAAAAAAATGTAATTTACCCTGTTTTGAAAAAAACCCAATCACCACCAGAGCCATACAAACACACCCCAACTGCCAGCCCTGGACTGAGGTTGGATGTGATGCTGGAGGGGGGACACAGCTCTGAGCTTCTGGGGTGGTGTTTGCCAGATTAATTTAAAACATTAATTAAAAAAAAAAAAGAATTGTCATGTAATTATTGCCTTCTTTCCCCAACACTTGTGGAGGAGCTCTGAGGGTCGATCCCACCATAAGCAGCCACACCGACACCCCAAACAGCTCTGGGGAATCCCAGTCCCACAGCCTGGAACCTGCA